GCACGTCAAATCTGGCAGATGTATTCATACTTCTGGAGCCTGGCCAGGAAACGGGAGACAGATGGTACTGTGGTCTGGATGCGATGTGCAAAGGCTACAACTGTGGTTCGGGAAACAAGGTAAACTTTCTTGCCACATACCACATCTTTTAAGTATAAGTTGCAGGAAAAGCGGTGGTCACGTGGTTAACGCGACGGTTTTTATAGAAAAGGTCCTCTTTCAAACTCTGGGTGGGCCCTCTTTTGCTGTGTGGGAGAGACACTGGCCCCTCTTGGCGCCTTAAATCCTATCCATAGCATCCAATTTTTTCAAGAACTTAATTTCGAGTTAAGAAAATTGGCATATACTTTCCTTTCAACACAGTACATGGTAATAAATCGTATACTTATAGATTGTGTGGAGCCACTTGGAATGCAGAACGGTGAAATCAAAGACCGTCAGATTACTGCTTCCTCAGTGAGAGGTCAAGAATTCGCTTATTATGCAAGGCTCAGAGGAAAAAACTACTGGTGTGCCGAAGCCAAAAGAAAAACTGAATATCTACAAGTTGACCTGGGAAAGGTACGTTTTGATAGTAGATAAGAATAGTCAGATAGTTTGAGAAAAATGCAAAAACAGAATTTAAGGAAAGATATTGAGAAGTTTACTCAGCACAAGCGCCTAAGTAAATTAAGTTATTACCCTTTACAATATCGTAAGGAAACTCGTGATTTAGTTCTTGTTTAAAAGTTTTGAGGATATATATATATATAATTTAGTTTATTTTGGACTTTGTATCGTTTCGTTCTTGCAACAAGCCTTTGAGAAATGTTGATTATCGAACACTTGTTGTCCCTTTTCATCGAAAAGGAACTTCTAAGAATTCATTTTTCATTCGAGTTTGTCGCTCTAGGAATGAACTACCTTTTAACATTAGCAATAGTCTGACACTGTCAGTTTTTTTTTACGATAAGTTCAGCGCTAACTTTTTATCGCAATAATCTTTTTTTTGTTATGCGTTTAAAGTATTTTTTTGTAGTAGAATTTTCATTTTTTAACGAGGTAAATAATTAACTATAAGAATCTTGGATACTCTAAGGCGGCTTTTACAATGAAATCTTGCATTCTGTTCTAAGCTGTCCTCAAATTCATGAGACTGTGCGTTGCAATGTAGTTCAAATTCATTAGATTGTGCGTTGCAATGTAGTTTGGAATTTGTACTAAAGATTAAAGAATCTCTATTACCCGATTTATATCAAGAGGTCATACAATATTCAAAAACAGCCAACTGTAATCGATTGTCAAATCTCAAAGGTGAAAGCTTTACATACAGTATTGATTCAGTGGTAACGGGTTATAAATTGAATTCATTATGTTTGACGCACCATCATTTCAGAGTCATCTCCTACGAAGCCACTTCCTGCTCTCAGAGCTACCTTAATATAACTGATCATCCTTAAACATTTTTATCGTAATTGTTACATTAATACATGGTCTTTTCTATATTACCTTTTCGTCCTTTTACAATTTTAGGTTAAAACTGTCAGTAAAATCTTGATGCAAGGACGTGGAAGCTGGTACTACTGGGTGACCGGCTTCTTCTTACACTACAGTTCTGATGGCCGGCGGTGGAAAACGTACTCTGCGAGTGGTGACGGAAAACAGTCCGATGTAAGCTAAGGATATTGTAATCATTCACAGTTAGTTGTTTACCTACTTCTGAAAACCACTCTCATTTTCTTTCCTATCTCAGTCCTTCTGTTATCTTGGAAAGTGCAGCGAAACTCTTGACACTCAGTGTAAGGACTTATGGGGAGCTAGTAAGTAAATATGCTCATTTTTTCCTCCTTGTATGTAACCTAGCGTTTTGATACAAACACTGTTTGCCTTTACTTCAATTTATCAAATATTTTTTAAGTATTTGTATGTTATCTACAATCTATTTTAGTTGCCAATTCAATGTTTTTTTTTTCCTAAACAAAGGTGTCTTTCTTCAAGGGACATGAATTATTTCAAACATGATGTTTTTTAGTTAAATACTTAAATAGACGACACTACGAGTACACCCGACAGGAGCTGGACCTAAAACCCTCAAATGAGAAAATTTGGATGCTCAAAGCCTTTCGGTTCAATTATAGTTAATTGGCGTCTTTCTGCGCTCCGACGAAGGGCTAACGCTCGAAACGTCAGCTTTTGAACTCTATACCTGTGGCCAATTTACAGTATCAACTTGGTTGATAAAACAAAATTAACTTGTTTTACCCCTAACGACGCAGCACCTCTGTTCCTCCAAAAACTTACCCCCTTTACTCATTTGATACTAACTCGACCTATTACAGCCGCCAAAAACGCTGACCAGGGATGCTATGACAAGCTGAACACTGAGGCTAGAGGATATGGTACATGTGATCCA